ATTGACAGTCCAGTACCCCAGGGGGTCCCTCAGTCAGTTTCAGGACGATCTGATGTTGCATTACAAAATAAAAGCCCTAAAAAACTCATATATGACCAGTTTTGTCTTTGATTTTGGACAGCTCTAAAATGGAAAGTCCCTGTTTCCACAGAACAATTTCAATTCAGATTAATAGTCCAGTACCCCAGGGTGTCCCTCAGTTTCAGGACGATCTGATGTTGCATTACATAATAAAAGCCCTCCAAAAACTCATATTCTACCTGTTCTGAGTCCAGTACCCCAGGGGGTCCCTCAGTCAGTTTCAGGACGATCTGATGTTGCATTACATGATAAAAGCCCTCCAAAATCTCATATTCTACCTGTTCTGCCTTTGATTGTGAATTGCTCTAAAAAGGAAACTCCCTGTTTCGACAGACCAGTTTGAGTTCAGATTGACAGTTCCCTACCCCAGGGTGTCACTCTGCTAGATTCAGGACGATCTGATGTTGCATTACAAAATAAAAGCCCTCCAAATACTCATATATGACCAGTTTTGTCTTTGATTTTTGGATAGCTCTAAAAAGGAAACTCCCTGTTTCCACAGAACAATTTCAATTCAGATTGACAGTCCACTACCCTAGAGTGTCACTCAGTCAGTTTCAGGACGATCTGATGTTGCATTACAAAATAAAACCCTCCAAAATTTCATGTTCTGCTAATGATTTTGGATAGCTCTAAAAATGAAACTCCCTGGTTCCACAGAACACTTTCAATTCAGATTAATAGTCCAGTACCCCAGGGTGTCCCTCAGCCAGTTTCAGGATGATCTGATGTTGCATTACATGAAAAAAGCCCTCCAAAATCACATATTCTACCGGTTCGGCCTGTGAATTTAAATAGCTCTAAAAAGGAAACACCCTGTTTCCACAGACTAATTTCAATTCAGATTAATAGTCCAGTACCCCAGGGTGTACCTCAGCCAGTTTCAGGACGATCTGATGTTGCATTACATGATAAAAGCCTTCCAAAAATTCATATTGTACCTGTTCTGCCCATGATTTTGGATAGCTCTAAAAAGGAAAATCCCTATTTCCACAAACTAATTTCAATTCAGCTTAATAGTCCAGTACCCCAGGGTGTACCTCGGCCAGTTTCAGGACGATCTGTTGTTGCATTACATGATAAAAGCCCTCCAAAATCTCATATTCTACCGGTTCGGCCTGTGAATTTAAATAGCTCTAAAAAGGAAACTCCCTGTTTCCATAGACCATTTTCTATTCAGATTGACAGTCCACTACCCTAGAGTGTCACTCAGTCAGTTTCAGGACGATCTGATGTTGCATTACAAAATAAAAGCCCTAAAAAACTCATATATGACCAGTTTTGTCTTTGATTTTGGAAAGCTCTAAAAAGGAAACTCCCTGTTTCCACAGAACAATTTCAATTCAGATTGACAGTCCACTACCCCCAGGGTGTCACTCAGCCAGTTTCTGGACGATCTGATGTTGCATTACAAAATAAAACCCTCCTAAAATTAATATTCTACCTGTTCTGCATATGATTTTATAGTTCTAAAAATGAAACGCCCTTTTTCCACAAAATAATTTCAATTCACATTGACAGTCCTCTACCCCAGGGTGTCACTCAGCCAGTTTCAGGACGATCTGATGTTGCATTACAAAATAAAACCCTCCAAAAATTGATTTTCTAACTGTTCTGCCTTTGATTTTGGACAGCTCTAAAATGGAAAGTCCCTGTTTCCACAAAATAATTTCAATTCACATTGACAGTCCTCTACCCCAGGGTGTCACTCAGCCAGTTTCAGAATGATCTGATGTTGCATTACAAAATAAAAGCCCTCCAAAAATATTCTGCCTGTTCTGCTAATGATTTTGGATAGCCCTTAAAATTAAACTCCCTGGTTCCACAGAACAATTTCAATTCAGATTAATAGTCCAGTACCCCAGGGTGTACCTCGGCCAGTTTCAGGACGATCTGATGTTGCATTACAAAATAAAACCCTGCAAAAAACTCATATTCTGCCTGTTTTGCCTGTGA